CTTTTGAAACGACCTTCTTGTATTGTTTTCTTGAAAATGACAGCATGCGGAAAGACTAATTTCACAGGGAGTTTAGTGCCATTACTATCTTTATACAAAGTAAGTTTTTTTTGTCAACAATAATTTTGTCAGTTACTTTTGAATAGATGCAAATGATGTACCGGTGTCACATGAAAATCCGACTCCTATGAAAATCGGACCCTTTTTTTCCTATTATTGGTTGATCCCTCGCACGTGACAGGTCACTCTCCCAAAACGATCCTAAAAATAGCATAGTATTGTACTCACGCGTGCGCAGTACTACCAATGAGCCCACATTTCATGGAGTCGGATATTCACGCTACACCGGTACTCTACCTTCGAGTACTAAAGACAAACCAATACATCAGGTTTCTACTTGTACATGGTTGGACATGATTACACTTACAGTGGCTGTAAGAAAATACTGTTGTATATTGCGTCATTTTTTATTGAAACAGCTACAGCGAAAATAGAATGTATTTTAGTTGATGAAATTCCTCGGTTGCTCACCAGCAAGATTTGCAGTCTCCCTTTACTTAATAATGTAACTCCTCAAACGGGAACGTCGATGATAAAAATGAAGTAGTACAGCAAACAAATGAGTTGTAATATTTTGAACCCGTCATGACAGTAATTGTTATAAATGTCAAGCAGTGCTTACAGGATTGGATCACTGCACAGCACCGAAGCGTATACGGCGTAGGTAGCGACAGGAATAGTACGTAAGGGTGCCATTAATCACTGGTGGAAAAAAAGATGCAAGCACTCTTACACGTTGCCAAGGGCACCTCGGATACCCTAAGCCTGTTACCCGAATCACCGCGTTTTCATGTACATGATTGCATTGCGCTTATTTTACGCCTTGTGCAGCTATTATGCTACATTGCACCACGGGCAATTTTATCGCCTCAAACGAGGATTTTGTGAAGCGCAAATCTGAGCCTACAAAATGCGCAACATGCACACTCGACAGGGAACCTCGTAAAAGGTTTGTGCTTGCATTGCAGAGAAAAAGACAGAGCTATACGACAGCTCTTTGGTGTGTTTTTTTTTCTTCTGGGCCCCTACAGACTTTTCTTTACCCCTACATTCTTAAACATGTTGTGTGATGACATCAAAAAACCCGACCTACCATCCCATTGTCCGCCGTATTAATGTTGACAATGTATTGACACGGCTTGTATATTTGTTGACCGCAGGATTGTCATCGGCATTGTCCTTAATTATTAATGCGCAGGAATATAATGTCACATTAATGATACACAAGTACGTATCGCTTTTAAAATGCAAATAATTGTGCTCTTAATGTACATGCCTTACATTGTATACACCGAAGTAAGTATTATACATCCCAACTTTAATAATACAATATATACAAACTTGATGGATAAAATACTCGTTAAAAAGAGTTGTTTTCCCTGCAGGCCCAACATTGTGACATAATATTTCCATTATACAACGTCCCTTTAACCATTGTGATTAAATTGTCATATATCTAAGAGTTTTAAGCCGGTAGGATAATGCTTTAAGAAATTCAACACTAAGTTATTCTGAAAATCGGGACAACTGATCACTTTTTTTTTACCTTTTACTTAATCAGCAAACAGTTTGTCCGAAAACAGTGTCCGTCTGACTATTCTTAAAATAACTAAAAACCTTGACGACAATTTTGAAAATGTGTGATTGTGCAGATACTTCTTATCCCTGGCCTAATCCCCTACGAGTTTCATTTAATTTCAGTATCGCATCACTGTACAATAGTTTATAGATTAGGATTTGAATAACACACAAGCAGATTGCTCGGACTGAAAACGCGAAAAATGGCGATTTATTCGCCATTTTAGTATTTAAATTGGCGTTCGCCCAACAAGATTTTAAGTGTGGTTATAAATTCTCTGAGATAAACACCTGGCTTTAGAAAATACCTCTTGTTTTTCTAGAAATCATAATGCGTGCAAATGTTTTGGGCATCGACCCGTTCTTTTCAGGGTGGCTGGGAAACGGGCATGGGATAGTCCGACTTCCCAGTTCCAGAAAGTCAGGTATGCGCCTTCTTGCAGCAGTGATCTTTCCAGATTTGCTGGGTCAATCATCTGTGTAATTCTCGGCATATATATGTAATTGTTCCTCCTATCTTATTCTATTTTAATTACTCAAATTTTATCTGTAGTGTGAGTCACTGTTATTGTTTTTTTTTTATCTGTTCAAGCTTTACTGTTTACATGTATGTAATGCTCAGCAATCATTATAAATATTAATTTTTACTGTAAACCAAATATTTTTAGTCATTGGACTTTCGCTTTGGTCACCATCTTTTTTTAACAATAACACCGAAATGAATGAATGAATAGTGAAAACTATCATTTGTCACAAATCAAAACAAGTTGCCTTTTTTTGTATTAAACAAATGTCATTTTGCTATTTTGTTTTCTCTTTGCTGTTTTCTCTGCCCGAGCCTCAATAACCCTAGAACAAAAATTCGGACGCTGCTATTTGGAATGTGTTAAGTGTGATTAAAAAGTGTGTCAATCGACAAGTATATAAAAAAACCCGGAAACTGACATTTTCAACATACCAGACCCAACGGTTTTACCTACACACATTTATTATTGATTTTTGGTGAATTAGGCGACCTATATCGACCCCCAAATTGAATCCAATCCTTGCAGGAAACTAATCAGAATTGGTTGAGCGCGCTGTGAACTGTAATTGAGTTTTCGAGTTTGTAAACTGTAATTGGGTAATTGTGTTTCGTTGTGTGGGAGCACACAATGATATTAATTCCGCGGTTCCCCCCCCCCCCCTTCCCGTATCTTGACCATCCCACACAAATTGAAGTACCGACAGTATTAAGTGTGAAAGAGCAGGGCCCATTTTGTCTGACGAGGTTGACCGAGTTTCTTAGAGGGATGATTTTTCAATGTGAACACTCATTTTGTGCGGCTCCAAACCATGAACGTTGATTATACCCTGAAAGTCTTAAAGGCATGTAGGATCATTTGCATCTAGCCCAAAAGTAATCTACCAATTATCAAACCGCTTTACTGGGATTAAAGATCGTACTGGTACTAAACAGCCCGTGAAAATATTCTGTCTGATCTGGCTTGCTGCCTTTTAGAAGAAATCAAGAAATGTAAAGGTAGCCCCCGCCCTAACTTCCAGCGATCAGTCAGTTGACTGAACACTGTTAGTTCGGTTGTGTAAAAATATTACACAACTTGTGTAAAATTTTACACAACTTGTTCAATTTTTTTTTACACAACTGGTTGCTAGGTTCATATAGTACACAGCCGAAATAACAGTGAACTATGGAAGTTCAGATTGCTATGGACGAAATCGTGCTTCGTGATAAAAAGGTTGGGTATGATTTCTCACTTTTGTCTCGAAAAAGGTGAGTTTTTGAACATTCTTCTTTAAATTTTCAGTGGTGTCATTAGTATTGGATAACGACCAAAATGCATGAAAAGCACATGATTCACTATGCCTTTACCTTCGCATGTATGATAACACAAATTAAAAAAAAGGCAATCGTCTGGAGACGTCAGGGGAAGTCATTAGCTGGCCTGCGTTATGCCCACCATGCGGTATAAGAAGTCTGTCAAACTATAGGCAGCCACAAATTGCCCTTGAAAATTTCCTTGGGAAAATTTAGGCCTAATGGGAATTAAACCTAATCCTGATGTATGTTTTCTGGAGACGAGTTCTTTTTTATGTACTCCATACCCGTGACCCAGTTTTTTTCAAGGTATGTTTTCCTTTCATTATGAATAACATAGATCGAATTATGTGTATTGCATGACCTGAAGGTTTGCTATAAATATCCTTCGTTTCTATTCATAACCGTGCTGGCGCACAATTTTGATTAAAAAAAAAAATTGTCGAAAACTTTTTCGTTTGTTTTGACCATCCCGATGTTGCTTGATAAATATATGTGAAATAGAATATCCTTCAGTACATCACATCAGTACACACATACTCAAATTACATGTATCCTCGTGGAGACATCGCTTTGTTCTTGTGTACAAAATGGTGAGAAGGTCGAAAGCTATTTTCAAAATGCTACTATTTTAACCAGGATTACTTTCCTGGGTTGAAGTTCCGACCAAATATCCCCTACATAAAATACTTTAATTTGCGATGGATAAGTATACCTTGGAAATTCCTAGTTTTTGAGTAAAATCCATATATACATTTCGTGAAATCCAAGTGGATACCAATTCACCTTTAGAAATTGCCGTGTGGAGACCTTTGCCATCTTTTATTCCGTGTCATCCCCGGGTCTCCACAAGGCATCATGTTGTCGAAACGATTACAATTTGCCAACGTTCATTACTTACATCATAATATACAGCGTGTGTCAATAAAAACGCAGGATTCAAAGCGATTTTTTTTCTGAGAAAATTATGCTACTGGTGTGCCTAATTTGATAAGGATTTGATTGTCCATAATTTCATCTTTGACAAGATTTTTGTTTGGTGGAATTTGGACTTTTGGTTCAAAATGTATGACAAGTTTTGTGAAGCCCTTCTGAAGCGGGTTGGTCTGATTCAATGACCTTAACACAACGACCAGTTATGTACAATGTAGGTATGCATTTAAGACAATTAAACCAGAACAAAACTTTCCTTGAAACAACTGATGATAAGTATCACTTAAATTTAATAACCGGACTATCATTGTTTCAAAGCATCATGAATTATTGACTAATAACATTGATTGTGGACTAAAGGATTATGTAAGCCTAATCCTGCCACACATGTCCTTCTTTGTGATCCACAAATACTTTCACCTGTACTGAATTCAAACCTTTCATTAGGTATGTGTGATTTCACAAATCAGACCAGCTTGGAATTTATAACCCTTCTTCAATGTACTCTATCTCTGGACAGGATTGTCCAAATGAGATGGGATAAAAAGCATAGTGAAGAGAAGGAAAGGTACTTTGAAAAGAGGGTTAACATTATGATGAATAGGGGTGGTTTATATTCTTAATATTTTTGTTTCTAATCCTGCGTTTTTATTGACACACGCTGCATAGGGGGATAATAGGGTCAATATTAGAGAAATTTCACGAAATTGGCTCCGAGTCCCAAGTGCCCCAATGTCGTATAATTATCTGCCCGCATCAATACAGCAAATAGGAAAAAGTTACCGATATTTTAGTGCGCGAATTTCTCCTGTCAGTCTAGAAGTGCAAAATGTAGTGAAGGTTTTTGAAATATTCAGACACTCTCTCACCCACCTTCTCAGTCCACTCCCGTTTTCAACATCAACCATCTCCACGCCAACATACCGTCCTTTCAGTCCTTCAGTTCGCAAATAGTGTTGCAACTTTATCCTCCCAACAACTAAAATCTAAATCCAGTGCCTTTTTACGCTTATGAGGGCTTTTCAACTCTGACGGCTGATATGGCCGTTTGAGCTGTTGACATAGTTATCATCGCGTCTTCCGTCGCTTCTGGACGGCCTATCAGCTTGCGCAAGGCTCGTCGGAATTGACGGTACTTGAAGGAATAGATGATCGGATTGATGCAGCAGTTGGAGGCAACCAGAATGGTGCTGGTGACCATCAGCGGCCCGTCATAGTCGATCTTGATCAAGCCCACGTTGAACAAGAAGAAGGTGAACTGACTTGGCGACCAGCAGATCAGGAAGGTCACGAAGACGATGAAGAGGGTCTTGAAGGTGTTGCGCCGGGCCCGGAGTAAGGAATCCTGCTGCTCGTTACCGAGTCGAGACTGCCCCATCGCGCTCGCCGCTAGGTTATGGCTCCCCTCTACGCCGTTGTGGTTGCTGATGGTGGCTGTGAGGGGTCCGATCTGTTTAGCGCTACGCTTCAAGGTAATAGTGATGTGGGTGTAGCAGAATATCATGATGCACGCCGGAGCGAAATACTGCAGGCAGATGAGCAGCGGCCCGATCACTTTAGATGCTTCAAGCTGCAGGAACTTACACTTGCCGTCGATGTTGCTGTAGATCAGGAAGGAGTAGGACTTCAGCAGGAGGCCAATCAGCCAGACCACGATCATCATAACCGCCCCGGATTTCTTGGAGAACAGGGCCTGGAATTTGAAGGGGTAGACGATGGCCACGTAGCGCTCTAGAGTCAGGTTCAGGAGACTGAACGTAGAGGTGACAAACATGACCCAGAGGAGAGCATCTCCGATCCACATCCGGCACAAGACCTCACCGGCGGTGGTTTCCGGCAACGGCACCGGCACGGGGATGTTGTTCTGAAGCACCAGCAGCAGCGAGCCCAGCAAATCGATGACCGCCTGGTGGCAAATGAAGGCGTTGGTCAGCGTGTGCATGAAGTGGACCCTGCAAATGACCACGATGACCAGGCAGTTGCCCAGTACACCCACCACGCCGATGATGGTTCGGCACACACGGAGGATCAGGAGAACATCAGCCATGATCCACGTACTTATCACTGAAGTCTCTGTTATGCCGCATGCAACAATCGACGAAAATAATGAAATGGTGGCAGTTACGCAAGTGCTCCCTTACTACATGCCACCTACAGTATTTCTAACGCGCGCGGGGCTGTGCTGGTGGAGCGCTGCAAATCACGTGCTTCGGGCACGATAATGATTGGTCAGTAGCTGTCCCCGCGTACTTTCAGTTCAACCTGTATTGAGTTAGCCACGCCCCTTAGACCACCCTATGGAATTGTGTACGTTAAGTTTTGTTTGACTCAGATTTTGCGCGTTCCGCGTCCATAATTGTGTATATCATAAAATCGAAAACATTTTCACAAGCTGCGTTCACGCCATTCTACCGAGATAGGATAAATATATACACTATGTATTACCGCAAAGTGTGTATGCACCCTTTGCATTGCAGCCATATTTGGGGTACGTATGAGTAGAGACCTTGTTATCCTTAGTGAATGATATGAATGAATGAATGAATAGCATTGCACTCTATTAAAATAACAACACCTCAAAGATGACTGCTCAATGCAAGGGTCTATTTATGGGCCACAGGCGAATATTGTACGGAACCTTTCTAAAATAATTATTAGTATCTGAAACCAGGCGCGTATAGCAATTAAAGTTCATTTTGATGGTGGTGGTGGGTGGGGGGGGGGGGGGGGGCGGTAAAGAGGCAAATTGAACGTCTCTAGATCATCTGTGCTTAAAGGTAGACATTTTTGTCACCGGTCATCCTCCGTTAAATCAAAGATCGGGCGTCGGGGGAGAAAGGAGGGGTTGGGTGAGGGGGGGGGGGGGGGGTGGGGGGGGTGAGGGGCTGTTTACCATCTTACTAATGGGGGCGCTGTTTATAGCGGGCGGCGTATTTTTTATTTACACCGTAGTGTAGGGTACTTTGTGCGCTTTCCTATGGAGTCATGGTATTATTACCAGGCTTGAGTGGAGACTAGGTAAAAGGTTACAGGATTGTAGTCGCCTGAAAAATGGGTACCGTACACTACGGTGTAAATAAAAATTAGGCTAGCGGGCGACATGGGCACCATCGCACAATAGGTGGCGCTCTTCATGGCGGCCCAAGGTGCCGACGTTCGCGGGACGTTGAATAAAAGGGGCACTCGTGACAAAAAAGGGCACTCGAAGAAAAAAGGGTACTCGTGATAATACATTGTGGGGAGATGGTAACCCCCCGCCCCCCATGATACGCCACTGAAAATAGGCTCTGTCATTATTTTGTTTGCACAATTCCTTAGAAGAACGGAAGGCTGTTTTTCTCAGATTTCTGTTATCGACCTTTTATTGTGGTGTTTTGTTTCCATTATTCACTGTAAAAAACACCTAGTCAAACTTGTACCCAGCTGACTACAGCAAGGGTCAGCTTTGTTCAGGTTTGACTGAATTCTAGTCAGATTTAAATAGCATATTTTTAGAGTGTAACGACCACTAATTTCGTCCACTCTGCACGTGTGATAAAAAAGCAACCGCTGTCGCTGAATTCGGGCAACTCTAACTTTCAGCGTATACATTTATCTTCTAAAGATGTCATTTTCTGGAAGAATAGAGTGTCCTTACAACAAAGAGATTAAGCATGCCCACGATGATTAAATGATTGTATTTTTTCCCCTTCAAAATATAGGTCACCATGCTCTGATAAGGCACACATTCCTTTCCGTGCGTATAAGATCGCAGGAGTGAATTATCTGAAGTAAAGCGCGTGTGGTATGCGCATACATAAAAACTAACGCGTGTAATAACACAGAACCTACGGCGGTGGGCCAGGCCAGGGCAAGTTATCGCCAAGATGACGACGCCATATTTTTGTACCGGGATTGCAAGCTTGGATTCTTCATGTTTGCAATGTCTTGAAAGGCAGTGGGCTTCAGCAAGGTAAATACTGATAAATGTTACATCTCAACAGGAAGAAAACGAAAATATCAGTGTAGAATTGTGCGAAATAAGCCAGTGATCTCCATGTAGATTAACGGTTACATTTACGGGCAGTTTAAGCAGAGTGTCCGTAAGGTAATGTCCAAATTCTGCTATATAGATGCACTTCAAAATTCTGCTAGATTTAACAAAAATCTACTAAATCACCTATTTTAACACGAAACACATTATAAACACTTATTCTCTCATATGTAGATGTTACAAAAAAAAAAACCTAAATCGCAAAATGTCCCTCAAAAACTCAAATAAAAAAAATCACGAGTCTAAAGCTTCGCTTGTAATAGTTTTAAGTATATTTTAAGGTGTACTAATGCACGTCAGAAAACCTAAAATAAAAGCCTTTTCAAATATTTTTGTGTCAGAATTCTGCTAGAATTCATTTAAAAATTCTTTCTGTTAAATTTTATGTGAAACTCGTTTTTTTCCCCGAAAGATTCTGTCAAATTTGCATTAGCCCCATAAATGTGGTCAATTTACTGGACTACCTCCGTAAATAAAGACCACACTTCCACCATGTACAAAAACATGTCGAACATTGTCAAATTTGGATTTTTACATTTAGGCTTAGTTTGTAGTTTATTTTTGCTTTAGAAGTTTACTCACCCTACTCTTTATAGGCTTATCAGAAAGTGCTGCCTTTTTCCGATTTCTATTTTTCGTGAACTCTCCAGATTTGTTTGCACACATCATTTGCGTATACAAATTTCAACATGAAATTTCACGAAAAATAGACATCTGAAAAAGGCATCACTCATTCTGCTTAGCATATAAAGAGGGTGAGTATGCTTTTAAAGCAAAAATAAACTTCAAACTAAGCCTAAATGGGAAAATCAAAATTTGACAAAGTTCCACTTATTTTTATACATGGTGGAAGTGTGGCCTATATTTGCATTTGAAGTTGCATCTATGGAGTCCAGCAAAACACGCATGTAAAGCAAATATACTGTATACTAAACATTCCGAAATCTTCCTTACAGTATGATTAAGGATCCTGCCACTTCTTGGATAGAAAAAAGACATCTTGACTTCACACATGCGGGCGTAAGAAGGTTAGTTTTATTGGGGGGGGGGGTTGACATTTCTTGAAAAGGGCACTCGCAGATCCTTGCTTTTTCTCCGGACAATTGTCCTCTGTAAAATCAAATAGTGTATCGGGGCTGGTGCCATCTTCCAATGAGGGCGCTGTTCATATCGGATTATCATAGACACACTATCGGACGATACATTGCGTTTTCCAAGGCAGCACACGCGCAAAATTCCCCAAGAAAATTGCACTCGTTTTGCAAATAGAGCACTTGTTAAAAAAGGCACTCTTTAAAAATATCAGGGGGAAACACTTTTGTAAAACGGCACATGAATGGAAAAGGTTGGGGAGGGTTTGCAACCCCCAATTGACCCGCTGACTAAGTTATGATATACTAGATAAATGGGGCCAAAATAATAAATTGATGTTTTAAAACAAAATAATTTTAATAAAAAATTTCAAACTGCCTTAGAATGCAAGAAAAAGCATCGTATTGGTGAGTAAAAAGAAGAAAAGGAAAAGCAGAACCCCAAAACAAACAATATGAAAATAAAACCATGCAGCACCAAAATCAATTATGAATTGGAAGCACATTTATTGAACAACGTTTACGAACATTATTTCAGTTGCTCTACACGTTCAAATTGTATCACTATATATAAAAAGCAGTTTCGTCCAAAAAAACCAAACCAACGTATTGTGAGTTCTGACTGTTTAGAACAACAAAGAAAACGACACAACTGTAGTACACGATATCTTTATTTACAACCCGGCCTTGACATTAGCAATAGGATTTCATTTTTTTCTGGTGGCGCACAAGCCTACGATCCCTGTGGCAATCACACGCGTTCAAGCTATCCCAACCATTCATATCAACCATCCATTTCCCTTAAGCAATATCTACCCTTGATATGTGAAACAAATGTCTTATTGGATTCTCTTCAATCCAACTGTATTCGCATGTCGCTATCTCCCTCTCGTGGCTCACAATACGGAAACAATCCAGTATCTTACCCTCATTTAATGGAGCTAACCGTGTACTGCATGGGCCACTTGGTTTTGTTAATAATGGTGATGTGTTGAGATATTTTAAGTGCATTCGATTACTTCCCCCGCGGCGCTTACTCTAGCCTTGGTCAAGGCGCTAGTTGTTATTCATCCCGGCCGTAGCGCGGTAAACGATATCCTCGCTAGCGCTATGCATGCGGTGCATTAAAAATACAGCGCGAACAGCGACCTGACGCGGCCACCATTTCTAGCGCGAACAGCGACCTCACGCGGCCACCATTTCTATGCAAATCAGTTGGACCCAATCTAGCGCCTTGGTTCAATCGTCTGCAAAAGCTTATGTTTTTCCTTATTTTGCGCTGGATTTCTAGCGCACGACCTCGTATGCGAATACAGATAAGTGTAGGCGGGGCTAATATGTGGAGTGTCCAATCACACCTTGGTCAATCCGGACGTCATCATATTATTTGCAGCTATTCGCCTTTTGCGGACGTGACAGGAACCACTGTTTTTGTGCATTGGTGCCGTGGACAGAGACACACAATATGTACGTGTATGGATTATGTGTGGTGCCACGTTTCACTATGCAAGTTTCCACGCAACGATCGACCAATAAGAAAACGACATGTAAGGTCAGCTAAGGCTTTTAACATAATGAGCACCACCCCCAAAACCTCACATGGACGATTGAACCAAGGCGCTAGATTGGGTCCAACTGATTTGCATAAAAATAGTGGCCGCGTGTGGTCGCTGTTTGCACTGTATTTTTAATGCACTGCATGCATAGACATATGATCATGACTGCATGCATAGCGCTAGCGAAGACATCGTTTACCGCGTTACAGCCGAACAACTAGCGCCTTGACCAAGGCTACGCTTACTCGTGCAAGCGCGACGTTCGATTTACCTCTCACGTGACTTCTCGCGCTTACTCGAGCCTGGCCCAAGTAGCCGACTCGCCGAGCCGGTTAATTGGGTAAACATCCCATAACGATGCGCCAGCGGTGGGGAATTCAAAACGGAAACTGTTCGTCCAGAAAACTTTGGATGATGGACGTACATTTGACACATCTAGGCCTATGGAAGCTACATGGCTTCGGCCAAGTATATTAACTTAATTTAAAACCAAGTAAAAAAAATGCACACAGCGAGAAACTCGGCACAAAGTTGTAGCGTATATCGCAGTTTCTCCACGAGATTTGGGTCTACAGACTTCAAACTTGCAGGGAGTTT